GACCCACTCACTCATCACTCAGACTCACTCATCACTCAGACCCACTCATCACTCAGAATCACTCATCACTCAGACTCACTCATCACTCGGACTCAGTCATGACTCAGACTCATCACTCATCACTCAGACTCACTCATCACTCAGACTCACTCATCACTCAGGAGCAGATCTGAAGGATGTCTCAGGCGATTCGCTGGTTTCAGCACTCTAAGGGGAGCGGCGGGGGTGTATTTCACTCGGCCCCTTTCGCGGGATTTTGTGGGGATGTCTCTGGCGGTTTGGCCATTTTCTCTTCCAGCATGTTTCGCTTTCGGAGCAGATTTGGAGGATGTCTCAGGCGATTCGCTGGTTTCAGCACTCTAAGGGGATCGGCGGGGGGGTATTTCACTCGGCCCCTTTCGCGGGATCATGTTTCGCTTTCGGAGCAGATTTGGAGGATGTCTCAGGCGATTCGCTGGTTTCAGCACTCCTAAGGGGAGCGGCGGGGGGGTATTCACTCGGCCCCTTTCGCGGGATTTTGTGGGGATGTCTCAGGCGGTTTGGCCATTTTCTCTTCCAACATGTTTCGCTTTCGGAGCAGATTTGGAGGATGTCTCAGGCGATTCGCTGGTTTCAGCACTCCTAAGGGGAGCGGCGGGGGGGTATTTCACTCGGCCCCTTTCGCGGGATTTTGTGGGGATGTCTCAGGCGGTTTGGCCATTTTCTCTTCCAACATGTTTCGCTTTCGGAGCAGATTTGGAGGATGTCTCAGGCGATTCGCTGGTTTCAGCACTCTAAGGGGAGCGGCGGGGGGGTATTTCACTCGGCCCCTTTCGCGGGATTTTGTGGGGATGTCTCAGGCGGTTTGGCCATTTTCTCTTCCAACATGTTTCGCTTTCGGAGCAGATTTGGAGGACGTTCGCGCCCAGTTTGCGGGGATGTCTCAGGCGGTTTGGCCGTTATGATGCTGGGCATCTGTCGTTTTCGGAGCAGTTTTGGGAGGATGTCTCAGGCGATTTGCTGGTTTCAGCACTCCCAAGGAGGAGGAGGAGGAGGAGGAGGAGGAGGAGGAGAGGAGGAGGAGGAGGAGGAGGAGGAGGAGGAGGAGGAGGGAGAAGGAGGAAACGAGGAGGAGGAGGAGGAAGAGGACGAGGAGGAGGAGGAGGAAGAAGGAGGACAGCATGAACACGGTAGGAGCAGAAGCAGGAAGGGGATGATGATGATGATGATGATGATGATGATGAGGAGATGAGGAGGAGGAGGACGTGGGCAACTCGAGTAGCCAGGGCCAGACGATCGAGGTTCGATGTTCCAAGGCTTTAGGTTTTACTCAAACGCTTCCGCCTCACTCTCCTTCGCTCTCCGCTCTCCTTCACTCTTCTGCATTCATACTCACTCATACTCAGACTCAGTCACACGCAGGCTCACTCGCACTTAGACTCGCTCATATCCATACTTAAACTTACTCATACTCGGACTCACGCTCAGAACCAATCATACTCAGACTCGCTCCTGCTCAGACTCATCATCCTTCGGTCCACTCAAACGCAGACCGACTCACACTCAGACTGCCTCACATCTATACCCAATCACAGTCGGCTCACTCGCACTCAGATTCATTAACACACACTTTTTCTCACACTCAGACCCACTCAAGCCCAGACTCACTCATGCTCAGACTCATCATGCTACGATCCGCTCAATCACAGACTGGCTCACACTCAGATTCGTCCATACTCAGACCCACTCGCACACAGACGCACTCGCGCTCATATTTACTCACACGCATACCCACTCAAACCCAGGCTCAATCGCACCCAGATTAACTCACACTCAGAATCAGTCGCTCTCAGATTTGCTGTTGGTCGCACTCATGCTTGCAGACTGTGGGAATGTCTCGAGCGAGCGGTTCGCCCTCGCACACAGGCGCTCATTGACAGATATCAAGAGAAAGACGTACCAAGAGAATGAGATGCACATATGGGGAGCCCCGCGTCGAGTAATTCTCTGACCGCGCCGGACCTCTCACTTCCCCTCCTCCTTCTCGGCACCAGTCAATGATGATTGTGGTCAGAGTATGATTTGAGTAAGATGGTGATGGTGAGTGATGGATGAGTATGATGATGGTGATGATGATGATAATGATGATGGCGATAAGTGTGATGATGACGATGATGACGATGATGACGAGGATGACGATGACGATGACGATGACGATGACGATGACGATGATGCTGCTGATGATGATGATGATGATGATGATGATGATGATGATGGTGGTGATGATGACGATGAGCAGATGATGAGGTTTGCTGGTTTCAGCACTCCAAAGGGGGGGGGCGCCAGGGGTATTGCACGGCCTCCGTTCGCGCCAAAATGGGCGATTTGCCTGTCTGCATGCCCAACATCCTCCGCTTTCAGAGCAGATTCGGAGGATGTCTCGAGCGAGGCGCTCATTTAGGGGGGGGGGCCAGGGGAACTGCACGGCCGCCGTTCGCGCCAAAATGGCGGGGATGTCTCGAACGACTACCTGCTTGCATGCCCAACATCCTCCGCTTTCGGAGCAGGTTTGGAGGAAGTCTCGAGCGAGGCGCTCCTTTTCGCCCCCCAGGGGGGGCAGATTTTGAGGATTCTCGATCGCGTTGATTTGGTGGCCCCAGGATGCCACAGGAGGCTCCAGCAGGCTCCAGGACGCCCCAGGAGGCCACATGAGGTCTCAGGAGGCATCAGAAGGCCACAGGAAGACTCAAGAGGCCACAGGATGTCCCAAGAGGCTCCAGGAGGCTCCAGAAAGCTTCTGGAGCCCTCAGGAAGCAACAGGAGGCCCCAGGAGGCCACAGGAAGCGCCAGGAGGCCCTGGAAGGCAACAGGAGGTCCCGAGAGGCCCCAGGAGAGGCCTCAGAAGACAACAGGAGTGGTTCCAATCCCATGTGTTTTACGTATGCTCCTAGACATTGGGCCTCACCTGGAGCACGAATCCTTGATATTATACGCATGTTTCTGTCGATTGTCCTCTCTCCGGTGTATGCAATCCTACATGTTTTACGTATGTTCCTATATATTGGGCCTCCCCTGGGGCACGAATCCTGTGTGTTTTTTTCCGTGTGTTCCTATAGATTGCCCTTCTCGTACGGCTCCAATCCGCCATGTTTTGTTTTAGTTCCTATATATATATATATATATATATATATATATATATATATATATATACACATATTGGGGCTCTCCTGGGGCACGGGATCCTCCCTATAGGAGGTCCCAGGAGGCTCCAGGAGGCCCCGGGGAACCACGCGAGCCTTCAGGAGGCCTCAGGAGGCAACTCGAAGCCCCAAGAGGCCCCAGGAGGCCCCAAGAGACTCCTGGAGGCCCCAGGAAGCCCAGAAGGTTTCAGGAGGCCTCAGGAGGCCCCAGGCTCATGTGCAGAGACGCGCTCGCACTACTGAGACTCATTCACACTCCGATTCATTCGCAATTCGGTTCATGACCAGGCCGTCCCAACTCAAGCCCGTTTAGATTCGAAAACTCTTGTGCCTAGACACTCACGGCGGACAGATCCATGCGAATAGATGCACTTATGGGGAGCTCCACGCAATGAATAATTGAATGTGGATTTTTCACATCGTTTTCGGCCTCTGGGTGCCCTCACCAAGGCCGTGAACGAAAAGACTCAGGACGCAAAGCTGGCCCTGGGGAAATGGTCGGGGCTTCTGGGGACCGCGCATCGAACAAGCGACACTTCTTCGGATCTCTGGATCCGAACCCGTCCTCATGGACCAGCTTCTCACTGCCAAACCCGTTTCTTTGGAGTGTCCGGGGGCTCTGAACAGCCCCAGGAGGCCGCAGTTGAAGGGGCCCAGGGACACACAAATGAATAGACACAAACAGCAGGATGCCACATGTCTTCCCATACTTTCTTGGCTTTTGTCTCCCCCCACTCCCCATATTTTCCCATCTCTTCCTGGGAATCGACGATTCATTGTGTCTCTCTCTGTGTGTTCTTCCCCTCCTGAGCAATGGCGCATCACTCGGGTTGACCCAAAAGGGGGTCCAGCGACAAGGGGGTGGTGCAATAAATTTGTGGGATTGCAGTACATTTGGGGCGTGCAATACACTCCGGGACGCAAATGTATTGCTGGATTTTCGCGTGCAATACATTCGTTGCAATACAACGCAGTACAATTCTCCAGCGCAATACGTTTGCAATACACTTGCCCCAAGTCTATTGCACCACCCCCTTGCAGCTGGACCCCCTTTTGGGTCGCCCAGGAACGCCCGCCCTCCCGATTCGGCGCGCGACGCCTCGATGTCCAGGCCCGCCTCCCCGTCGTGCGGCGGCGGCGGCGGCCCGCCGGGCCCGTGCGCGGGCTCCTCGCGCGGGCGCAACGCCTCTGCGCCGGCCGCCGCGCCACCGCCCGCAGGCCCGCGCGGCCACGCCGCCGCGGGGGCCGCCGCCGGGCGCGCCCGCTCGGACAGCTCGCGCTGCGGGCCCGGCGCGCCGCCAGCCGCGCAGCAGTCGCGGCGGGCGTCTGCCCAGCCACTGCGCGGCAGGGCCGCGGGCGCGCCGGCCTGGCGCGCCCCGCCAGCGGGCGGCGCTGCTCGTGGGCCCGCGCAGGTGCCGCGCGCGGGCGGCGCCCCTCGTCGGCGCGCAGCCTTCCCGCACACTCTGCACCGGGAGCACGGCGACGGCGGCGGCGACCGCGGCGGAGTGGCGGCGTCGTCGCGGTTCAGGTCCGCCCTGGTCGCGTGCACGGTGGCCGTCGCCATCGGGAGGCCAGCTGCGGCAGGCACCAGGCCATCCGCGCGCAGGTACCTCTCGCCGGCGCCGGCTGGCCCACTGCGCTGTCTCGCGCGCAGCTCGAGGGCCTCTTGGCACTCCTCGGAGACGCGGCCCCCCTCGAGCTTGTAGCTGCGCTCTTGCTGCTGACGCAGCCGTGCCTCCTGCTCGAGCAGGCGCCCGATCTTCTTCTGGCAGTATGCCCAGACCTCGCTCTTCATGTGCAGCGCCCCTGCCAGCTCGCACCTCAGCAGCCAGGCCTCACTGTCCTCGCCGGGGGCGCTGGACGCGCTGCTCGCCAATGCCAGCGCCTCTGTACGGGTGTCTGGCCACTGCTTGCTGGACGCGCTGCTCGCCAGAGCTCGCGCTGCTGGGTGAGGGGCGCACTGCGCCCAGCTGGGCAAACTGCTCGCCGATGCCTGTGCTTCGGGCTGGGAGGCGGGCTGCTCCCAGCTGGGCACGCTGCTCGCCAGGGCCCGCGCCTCGGGCTGCGGGCCGGGCCGCTCCCAGCTGGGCACGCTGCTCGCCAATGCCTGTGCTTCGGGCTGGGAGGCGGGCTGCTCCCAGCTGGGCACGCTGCTCGCCAAGACCCACGCCTCGGGGTGGGGGGCGCGCCGCTCCCAGCTGGGCACGCTGCTCGCCAATGCCTTTGCTTCGGGCTGGGAGGCGGGCTGCTCCCAGCTGGGCACGCTGCTCGCCAAGGCCCGCGCCTCAGACTGGGGGGCGCGTCGCTCCCAGCTGGGCACGCTGCTCGCCAAGGCCCGCGCCTCTGGCTGCGGGCTGGGCTGCTCCCAGCGGGGCGCACTGCTCGCCAAAACCCGCGCCTCTGGTTGGGAGGCGGGCCGCTCCGGGCTGAGCGCGCTGCCTGCCGCAGCCCGCGACTCCTCCGCCGCCTCCGCCTCGGCCTTCTCGACCAGCCTGCGCTCCTCCGCGAGCTCCCTGCAGAACTCTCTCCGGGCGGCCTCAATTTGGGCGCGCGCCTCGCCGGCGAGCTCCTCGCGCAGCAACGCCTCCCGGTCAGCCGCCTGCCGACGCAGCTCCGCTTGGTCCGTGAGCTGCCGCCGGCGGCCCTGGACGTTGCGTGCTCGCAGCTCCTCGTTGCGGGCCCGCAGCTCCTCGATGCGGGCCCTTATCGCCTCGTCGCCAGCCCCTGGTTGCGGGCCCTCGTGGCTAGCGTGCAGCTCCTCTCTGAGTGCCCGCATGCCCTCGTTGCATGCCCGCAGCTCTTGCAGCTCCTCGCGGGCCGCCTGCAGCTCCGCGGCATCCTGCGAGGAGGCCGCCTGCAGCTCCTCGAGCGCCACCTGCAGCTCGCTTTCTCTTGCTCGCAGCTCTTCGATGCGTGCCCCCATCTCCACATCGCCAGCCCGTGGTTGAATGCCCTCGCCGCTGGCCCGCAGTTCCTCGTGTAGGGCTCGCAGCTCATCACCGCCGTCGCCAGCCCCCAGTTGCAGGCCCTCGTGGCCAGCCTGCAGCTCTTCGCTGCGTGCCCGCATGTCCTCGTCTCGGGCCCGCAGCTCTTGCAGCTCCTCGCGGGCCGCCTGCAGCTCCATGGCATCCTGCGAGGAGGCCGCCTGCAGCTCCTCGAGCGCCACCTGGAGCTCTGCGCGGACCTCCTTGGCCGATCGGATCTCGGTGAGCTCGGCGGCGTGCTGCTCCTGAAACTCCTCCAGCCTCATGTGGCTGACGGCTGCCTGAGCACGGTTCTTCGTCGCCATAGCGAGGTGCTTCAGCGCCTGCCCCTGGGCCTCAACGCGGTCGTCCTCCTGCTGCCTGACGAGCTCTTCTAGCTCCTCGATGCGGGCCTCCATTTCCTCCAGCTCGTCCTGGTCGTGCTGCTGGTGTGCAGCATGCGCCAGGAAGGAGCCCAGCTGGCGGTCCTTGAAGCTGGCGGCCTTCGAGACCTTCTTCGTCACCTTTGAGCAGGGACCGACCGTCCCAGCATTGCTTGTACGCCTACCACGAAAATCTATTATAACAAATCAACGTTCTTAGAACATGAGCCCGATGTGCTAAAACAAGACAGTCCCAGCCAGAAAGGCTCCAAGAACATTTCGTGCAGACCGCAAACGGTTCTTCGAGCGTTCTCCTTTGGTGGGCCTATGGGGGCGAGCTGTGACGCTTCGTCACTGCTTGACACCTCGGGCCCAACGCTGGCCGTCGCGTCGCTGCACCGCCGCGCCGCCCTCTTCCAGTCCGCCCTCTTCTGCACCGCGACGCTGCGGGCGAGGCTCCGCCGGGCCATCCGGAGGCGCACCGCGGCCTCGTCGGAGCTGGGGCCCTGCCCCGCCGCGGGAGCCGTGCGCCCGCCTGCGGCCACAGGAGGGAGGGAGGAGGAGGGGGACGAGTAGGAAGAGGAGGAGGAGGAGGAGGAGGAGGAGGAGGAGGAGGAGGAGGAGGAGGAGGAGGAGGAGGAGGAGGGGGAGGAGGGGGAGGAGGAGGAGGAGGAAGAGGAGGAGGAGGTCGCCTGCAAGAGGGTCGCCCGTGTCCTTGAAGGCCACCCGCTTGCCTGGCTCCCCCGGCGCCGGTGCTGCCCGCAGCGTCTCCGCCCCCGCGGCGCGCTCCAGGCGCTGCTCCAGGCCCTGCCGCTGTGCACGCCACTGCTCCCGCTCCCGCTCCAGCTGGCTCCTCTCTCGGCTGCGCGCAAGAGGAGTGACCCTGGGTAAGAGGGGCCTGTTGCTGCGCCGCTTGCGGTGGGGCGCTGGAGGGCCACCCCCAAGCGCGCCGGCCGCCTCTGTCGCACCGCCCTCCGCGATCGGGGGGCCCCAGTGGGCCCGCGCCAAGTGTCACTCCTGCGAGGGGCCACTCTTACGCACAGCCGATCCTCAGCTGCCCGAGGGCCTCGTCGCCCTGGGCTCTGAGCCGGTCGATGTCCTCGCGGGCGCGGTCCAGCTCCTCCCGCAGCGCACTCTCGCGCGACAGGCGGGGCGCCATGTGAGGGTCGAGCTTCGCGTCGCCATCGCCATCGCCAGCGCGCTGCTCGTCCTCGTCCTCGTCCGCCTCTGATAGGCAGCCCAGCTCCGCCGCGAGCGAGTCGGCGCGGCCGATGACGCCGCGGCCGCAGACGGAGCCCCTGGAGGAGAAGCGCTGCGTGAGCGAGCTCTCCAGCTGATCCTCCAGGTCTTGGATCTGGCGCTGAGAGGCCTGCCTGACAAGCTGGAATTCTCGCCTCTGCCTCTGGCACTCCGCCTCCGCGAGCTGCAGCCTCTCACTCGCCTCTGCCAGCTGCTGCGCTGGCGCCAGCGACTTCATGTTGGACTCCTCCACGCTCCTCTGCAGCGCTGCCACCTCCTGCTTGGAGGCCTGCAGCTGCTCCTTCAGGGTGGAGATCTCCTCCCGGAGGGCCGCGCTCTCTTCCTGCAGCTCGTCGTTGGTCCTGCTCGCCTTCGTCAGATCGAGATCGGCCCGCAAGGTCCTCACTGCCCTGGCCAGTCCCAGTCTGTGAACTTGGGCCGTCGAGGAACTCGAGCCACCCTGTGGCCGCTCCGCGGCGAGGGGCCCGGGGCCACCCTGCCGCAACCGGCCGTTCTCCGCAGCGAGGCCTCGGACCTGGGCCTGGAGCTCGTCGATGTCGCTGTGGGCTCGGTCCAGCTCCTCCTGCAGCTCGTCGATGCGGCGCGCCTCCGCCTCGGCGGGCATGCGGCGCCGCTCCGCCGCGCCGCCTCGGCGTGCGCCTGTGCGGCCAAGGGGCGCTCGAGCCTGCCGGATCCGCGAGGCTCGGGGAGACGCAAGGCTCGGGTGCGGGGGACTCGGGCTTGGCCTGCCGGGGCCACCGTGAAAATGGCGAGACCCAATCTGAACTTTGATGCGAACTCCCGCCGCAAGCATCCCATGAAGACTGGACCGTCGAAATCCCAGGCGCGTTTGCCGAAACACGTCGGCAAACCCGAGTTCTGGCTTGCTCGAGTCTGACGTTTCCCCGAGAGGTGTGCGCCTGCCAGGCAGCGAGGCCAAACACTTGGGCAGCGAAGCTGCTTGAGCCCGCACTGGCTGCGAACGCGCGCCCGTTCGCGTGTCTGCGCCCGCGCCGCGCCGGCTCCCTCCGCGGGCGTGGGCCGCACGGGACGTGTGCGCACCGTGCTTGGACCGGCACGGAGGGAGGAGGGCGCGCACGGCCACTCTTGCATCGGCGCGCCGTTGCGGCCCATCTGGCGCGCAGCGACGCGGCTGGACGCGCCCGTGTCCGGTCGCGCCCACTGCGAACGGGAAAGGGAAGGATGGATAAGGGGAGGGGGGGGAATGTGAGGGGGAGGGAGTTTGCGGAGGGCGCTGGCGGGCTGGCCGCTCAATTTGCGCAGGGCGGTGGCGACCATCGCAGGTCTCCGCCGGAAGGCGGGAGGGCACGCGTGGCCACACGCGCCCGAGAAAGAGAAGTGCAGCCATCGTGCTACCATCGTAAACGTCTAAGCAAGGAACGAAGGGCCTTGAAGTGACCCCGGGAGGCCTTCAGTCCTGCCAGAGCCCCCCCTCCCCCAAAGATCGCGAGTCCCCTGGATCGCCCCGTCCTTACTAGGACGGCGACGGCGACGGCGGCGGCGGAAGACTTCTCAATCCTCCTGTATTGGGCTCTCGTTAAGGATGGAGCACTGTGGTCTCCACTCCTTCCATCCCGCATCCTCCTCCTTCCTTCTCCCGTCTCCTCTTCCGCCTCCTCCTCGTCCCCCTTCTCCTCCTCGTGTTCCTTCTCCTCCTCCTCCTCCTCCTCCTCCTCCTCCTCCTCTTCCTCCTCCTCCTCCTCCTCCTCCTTATTTCTCCTCCTCCTTCTCCTCCTCCTCCTCCTCCTCCTCCTCCTCCTCTGGCTTCGTATCCCCCCTGTGTTGGGCTCTCGCTCTGAATAGAGCACTGCTTGCGCGAACCTCCCGCCTACTCCCGCCTCCTCCTCCTCCTCCTCCTCCTCCTCCTCCTCCTCCTCCTCGTCCTCCTTCTCCTCGCGGCTCCCTGGGGGGGCTGCGAATTGCGAACCTGTCGCCGTTTACAAGGGCTCCTGATGAGGTCCAGAGGAGTGGGGTGTCGCGCGGAACCCGCCGAGACCTCGCGACTTCCCTGGGGAGCTGCGAATTGCGCAACTGTCGCCAAGTTCGTGGGCTCCTGGGAGGCCCAACGGAGTGGGAAATACGCAGACCCAGCCGGGACCTCGCGACTCCCTAGGGGGCTGCAGGGTGCGGGTCCCTTATCACGTTCTTTGTATGGAGCAGTCTTTAGTATAGCCGCCCCATGCTCAGAAGGGGTGGGCACGTCTCAGGGTGCTTGTTGCTGGTTCTCCCCCACCGTGCCCTGAGGCACGACTTGGAACGTCCTGGGGTGGAGGGTGAAAAAGAGGTGGGCGTGCTGGGCCGTAGCCCGTGGCCTCGCCTCTGCCGGCGTGCCAAGATCACGCATAGCCCGTAACGTTGAATTGCGCGGACCGGCGGCGGCCGCGGCCGGCGAGGCGCCAGGCCCGGACGTCGGTCGGCCGCGGTGGGGGGGGGGGAGCGCGAGGCAGGGGAGTGGATCCCGGTGTCCCGCGGAGTTCTCTGCAGGAAGTTCTGACAATCTCCTCCTCCTCCTCCTCCTCCTCCTCCTCCTCCTCCTCCTCCTCCTCTGCATGAAGCTCTGACGATCTTCTCTCCCGGGGCCCGCATAGCCCGAACCCCCGGAGTTCTGGGCGCCCTCGCGCGCTCGAAGGGGGGGCCCCGGCGTGATTCCTCTCGAGAGGCCAGGGGCGCGCTGTTCGGGAGATGCACGTCCAGCAGGGTTTCGGATGGCCCCCAGGGGCAGATGCACGTCCAGCAAGGGGCCGTCGTGGAGCCCTCTCGTGCGCCTCTCGGGCCGTCCTGGGGACCCTGGAGGGCGGCCCAAGAGAGGCCAACATGGTCAGCATCTGGCTGTATTTCAACGGTTTTCGCGTTGCCGCCTTTTCGGTCTTCAGGGCGGCCAGTGACGGCCCAAGAGGCGCACAAGATCGCCCAAAAACTGCCGAAGGGCCCCCCAGAGGGGCCCTGTAGGCCCCCAAGGCGGCCCTAAAAGGAACCACGTATGTGGAGAACACGGGCTGACAGTTTGAGCCCTCCGTCCCAAGATGGCCCCAAGATCCTGCCACAAGCCCCGAAGATGCGCCAACGAGGCCCCCAGAAGCCCCCAAGAGGCCCCGAGATGCCCAAGTCAGGCCCCACGAGGCCCCCAAGACGCCCAGAGAGACCCCCCAAATCGCCTCCAATCAGCACCCGAGAGGTCTCCCAAAGGATCCTCACAGACATCAGTGAGGCCCCTGACCTACAACCCAGGCGCAGTGGCGGGATGGGCCGAAAGCTACTAACTAGCTTGTCGTGGGTCGGCAAACCTCAATTGACCGCAGCAGGTCTTTAATCCATCCCCTTCTTACAATGGATACAATTTGCCCGCGGGCTAATTGACGGATTGAGACCGACAGCAGCATTCGGAAAGTACATCTCCCCCATGCGGCGAGGAGGGGAGTGCGAGGGGGAGGACCGGGAGGGAGAGCGAGGAAGAGGGCGAGGAGGGGAAGGACGAGGAGGGGGAGGGCGAGCTCTACTCCGGCTGGTCCCGCACAGAAACACGGCCCCATCGCTCGAAGGAGCTCTGGAGGACCCACCGCGCCCGGGCCAGGCGTCCACTCAGAGGCGGTGCCCGAAACCGCTGCGGGACACCGCCCCGGCCAGGCACGCGCCCACACCGCTCTCTCCGTGCAGAGCAGGCGCCTCGCCTCGCAGGCCGCTCTCAAGGGCACAGGCGGGAGGGCCGCGCGCAAGTAGAAGCGAGGACGAGGATAACATCGGGTGAGGGAAGACCGAAGAATCTCTGAGATCCGGCGGCTCTGGAGGACGTCTCGGGCGCCACGGCCTTCGCAGAACGTTTCGGAACGCTCGGAGAGCGTCCTGGAACGCCCTGGAACGGATTCATCCTCGTTTTAGCCAGGCCCGAGTGCGAGAGCTGAGCGCACGCCAGAGGAGCCAACCGAACGCACCCTTGGCAAGAGTGAACCTTCATGCGCGATCTTCGGGGCCGCGGGGAGGCCGAGCCGGAGCGCGCAAGCCGCTGCCATCGCATCGCATTCAGTTATCTGGAGACGCCAGAGCGCCCGCACCAAAGGCCGCTTCAGCGAAACGTGACCCTTACGTATAGCCGACACTTGCAAGGGGCCGCGTCGCCATCTTGGCGCCAGGCAGCCCAGAGGAAGGACGTCCCTCCCTCCAGAGGCCCCCTCAAGGAGGGCCATCGTCGCCACCCCTTGACGCGCCTCGTCATCCTGTTCAGAACGTGCTCCAGGACACGTCCGAGGGACGATTTTCAGAGACGATGGGGAGGCCAATCCTGGGGTAGTTTTTGGCACTGTG